GAGGGCGCCACCGAATTTTGAGGACACTTTTTTAATTGGCTCAAAGAGAGAAGTGGCCCATCTTGTTATGTACTATCTTTGACTATACTGAAACCTGCAACTTGATGACGTTTAAAAAGGGCTGCGTATGGTGCGTGTTCGACCTGAAGTGGCCATTTTTTGGAAATGTTTAGTTCTGATTCGCTATAGAGATCTGAACTCACAGAACTTCTCTACTCATCATTGACTCCTGACACAAAAGGTCTTGAGGGCACCTAAGAATTCTTTCCATACTGTGCGCAGAACTTACGAAATGTCAGGAATGGAGAGTTTGTGGAGATGTAATGTTCAATACAAGGAAATTCCCTGCTCTTTACTAATACTAATACTGTCTTAACCATGATCTCAGCCGGCAAACGAAATTAGGGAAATATATCTGTAGACTACTGTTAACTTGTTAGACTGCTGTGGCTTGCAATATGGCGTGACTGTTGCAACTTTTAGTGGTTGGCCTAATGCAAACTGGTGCGTCATGCTACGAAAATGAGGACAAGGCTGAAAACGGGTTGTTTTTTTTAACACGATATAGAGCAAAACCATTCAATGGACTTATCTAAAATGAACATCAGACAAATTCCTTTTGGCTTCCAAATATTATGTTCAAATCTGAAAAGCAAAACTTCAGTATAGAGGAAGATATATTTACAAAATAAGTGTTACCGTTGTTTTTATCCTTATCAACCACCCTGTAATTCCGTAAGTGCCGAAGATTAGAATTAAAGGTGTTACAAGAGAGTAACAAACACATTAAAAAGAGGGAGGAGAGATAAGGACGAAACAGATCTTACTAATCTTAGAAAAGAAGAAGCAAACCATACCAGAGCACCCGCCAACCACCCACAAAATTTTAAGCTCTCTATATCAAGGGAGGTTCTAAAATAATGGGACAGTTGGATTTAAAATTTTCTTGAATCTTCCCCCGTTTTGAAATTTGCTGTTGTGTATTGTATTAGTTCTTCCATCTCTGACACCAATGTTTTTCACTATGAATGACGAGTGCACATGTATACATATAGGCTACACTGTTTTCGCTGTGTGTGTATGTACTTTGAGAACAAAGAATATAAAGGAAAAAATTCAGGACCTGATAATCTGTATGCTGGGAGCGTGAGTGCTAGACTAATTGGTCGCTTTTAAGTGTAAGGACAAATTGCGGGCTAAGTTCCCGGATTTCGGTTGTTTTTTGTTTTGTTTAAAAAAAAAGAAATCTTGACCTACACCAAGAAAGTACGTAGCCCTACCTATAGGAGAAGTTTGGTTTCATTGGTGTGTAATTTTTGTTTGGTTATATTAGAGAAAACTTTCCTTGTCTTTCCAAAAAAAAAAAAAAAATGAACATAAGGGTCCAAAAACTTTACCCTCGATTTTCTCAAAAGAGCATTTTTCAGGATA